AGTTGCATACACCACAGTTGTAGTGATAGCATTGATATTGCTAATCATAATGTAATTGGTTAATAAAGGAGAAATATTATATTCACTGCCTCACCATTAATTTTTCATTGTGCAAACTTTTAACCATTTCCAAAGTTGTAAAACAAGTATAACATTGACATTATAGGTAACACATTTGTAGTAATCAATTAAAATTGATTACTTTTTTATAGTTGAGATCATGAGTCGATTGAAGCTAGACCACCCTGGAAAACATGGAAGTACTGAACGGCCGTTTCATCCTATTGTGAGACTCCTCATCAGCGTGTATCCACGATCTCACCTCGCGAGATTCGAACCCAGGACCTACCAGTCGAAAAACACATATATCAATATACCATTTCTATAAGAAATTGTAAAATAATTAAAGATTTTATCATTATTTTGTTAGAATTACTATTTCAAAAAATGAATAAAATACGGTGGTTCAAATATGAAATCTTATCATTCATATTTTAAAAAACTGTGCTCATTTAATGTCGCTTCATTCTAATTCGTCAATAAGAGAGAGAGAGCGAAATTTGATTGCGTCCAATATAATTATTTCACTATTGAAGAGCATCTTTTGTAATTGATAGGCCAATATCTACTATAGTTTACGCTTCTTTCTTAGATGGTCCACCAGGGTGCTTGGCACCTGTGTCATTGTGTCACAGGATTGAGCTGTGCTGTTCGGATTGTAGCGTTGAAGCCCATATAGTGTCCGGTTCTCCTATAGAGCGGGAAGGAGCTGTACTGTTTGAGTTAAGCCTGGGCAGTGTCTGGTTTTCCTGTTAAACGGGATTGAGCTATACTGTTTGAGTTGTTGCGTGAAAGTCTGTATGATGTCTGGTTCTCCTGAAAACTAGTGCAAGATTACCCTGGTCTATAAGGGTATACTATATAACTTCCTTCTTAGACGTAATTTTATCGAAGTTTCCGTTTTTTTTCTTGCATTTCATGCTAAGATCTAAAAATTGAATTGTTCATCTTTCTCATATTTCACTCTAAACATTATGTTTAGAAGAGAGTTATTTGAATGATTAAATTAGCTACAAACGTAATCCATATTATCACAAATAATAAATGTATCATCAACATATCTGAAGAAAGAAGACGATGATTCGTTGAAGTTAGACATTAACACCATCGGATGCCATCCAACTCAGTGGTCTATCGGTTAAGTGCTCAAGCGCGAGACTGGTAGGTCTTAGGTTTGAATCTTGAGAGGCGAGATCATGTATGCGCACTGCTGAGGAGTCCCATAATAGGACAAAACTGCCGTCCAGTGCTTCCAAGTTTTCCATGGTGGTCTATCTTCAATTGACTCATGATCTCAACTATGAAAATATTAGTATATTGCCACTGAATTGTTTGTAACAATCATTAGAAAATTGAATTCCATTTGGTTTGATACACACGTATAAATATGTATCATTTAACTCAATAGTTAATATCTAATGTTTTTTTTCCTAATAGCTATTGTATTGTACCGTAAGTAGGTATCAAAGTAAAAGAGATTAAAAAGTGTTCCATATCATTCAACATTTAACGTTTTTTCAGTGTTCAAACCATCGAGACCCTAATTTTACATGAGTTCTTACTCCACCTTCTCATTGCTCTATCGAAACTTAGAAAAGGGACTAATTGCTTTAGATAATATCAATTATCAGATCTACCAGCTTCAATAATCATCTATTTGTTATCGTTTACTAACTAATGCTTTCTCATTTTAAAAACTGTTTGTTAACTCTTCAATTAATCTGGTTCTATATTTTCTATAAAGAAAAAGTATAATATCTGGTTTATAAAAGTATTAACTGGATAACAACTACATGTTACCTATTAACTTGATTGACGACGTATTAGACATGGAAACATAATAACATCTAAGAAGTACTAAATTTAAATAACTTTCCATTAATCACTGGTTCTCAACTATTTCCCAGATAACATTAGATCATGATGAACGTTTTATATATTTCTCCATTGAAAAGTCTTCTTCAATAAAGTAAATCTTTGTTTAACATATGAAAATAAATCTCATATTGATTAAAGTTAAAATCATCTAAAATTCATTGCAGTAATTACTTACTTATTTACGCCTGTTACTCCCAATGGAGCATAGGCCACCGACCAACATTCTCCAACACACTATATCCTGGGTCTTCCTTTCTAGTTCTATTCAATTTTTGTTCATTCTTCTCATGTCTGTCTCTATTTCTCGGCGTAATGTGTTCTTTCATCTTCCTCGCTCCTTTGACCTTCAGGATTCCATGTGAGGACTTGTCTTATAATGCAATTAGGTGATTTCCTCAAAGCGTGCCCAATCCACTTCTAGCGCTTCTTCCTGATTTCTTCCTCCACTAAAATCTGGTTTGTTGTCTCCCACAGTAACTTGTTGCTGATATTATCTGGCCATCTGATCCGAAGTATCTTGCGTAGACAGCTGTTAATAAATTCTTGCACCTTCTGGGTGATGGCTTTCATAGTTCTCCACGTCTCCGCCCCATACAGTAGAACTGTCTTGATATTTGTATTGAAAATTCTGATCTTGGTGTTGGTTGACAATTGTTTTGGGTTCCAGATGTTCTCCAGTTGTAAATATGCTGCTCTTTCTTTGCCTATCCGCCCACTCACATGTGCATCAAATCCAGTGTTCATCAATGATGCTGCCCAGATATGTAAAGGTTTCCACATCCTTCAAAGCTTCTCCGTCAAGTGTAATTTGATTGGTGCATATTGTATTGTATCGGAGAGTCTTACTTTTCTCTTTGTTTATATTGAGACCTACTGCTACTGAGGTTTCTGCTACACTGGTCGTTTTCTCCTGCATTTGTTGTTCCGTTTGTGATAGAAGAGCCAGATCATCTGCGAAGTTTAGATCGTCAAGTTGTATCCTGCCTGTCCACTGTATCCCGTGCTTCCATCCAAATTTTTTGTGATACATGACCATTTCGACTGTTGTACATTCGAAATAGTTCATTATTGTTTATTTATAATTATGATTTTATTCTGATAATAGGGGTTTCTGAAAATGTTGACTACTTCAGCTATTTTCATTTCCTTCGTTCATGCCCAGTTACTTAATACTAGTTGTCATTGTGATTCAATTATCGAATTGTCCTATATTAAACTGCTTGTGTTAAGTCATTTATTCCGTTTATGAAATCTTAATTCAATATATCCTTGAGATTGAGATGGGACATTAACCTTTAGCAGACAACTAACAAACATGTTCAGTTTCTTTCACTGAATAAATGTGAAGTTTAAAGTGTCTTCGTTTATACAACGACTTGTTCAACTTATCGAGGTGCTTTAGGAGATATTCTCCCCGCAGTTGACTTTATCACCCGTAGTCTTTACGGGTTCATAGGCTAATAAGTAGCAATAAATATTCAATCGTCATTACGATCCACTTACCATTCATCTGAAATTTAATCACAATGTTATAGACTACTTGCAAGTAGACAAATTTGGTCATGCAAATAAATACGATGAAAATGGTTTTTTAAACATCATTTCGTGCAGTAGGCTTTAGAGGATACTTTATAAATAGCTTATAGGTTGTAGGACTGTATTTACTGTCTTTCGATATGATTTGACCATCATACGATTCGTTTTTAGAAGAAATGTAGATTTGAAAGGTATGAAATCTAGTGAGAATAATTTTATCGAATTTGTACATCGATACGCTAATTAGTTTACGGTCAGTGAACATTAAAACTACAGTGAGATGTTAATATCGTAACCTATGGGGTCAAAAATTTAGGCGGAACGAAATTCTAGTAGTATAGGTACCGAAGAATACCCCTACTATATCTTTATGTTGATTTGTTTAACCTCTTTAATGTATCCCATAAGTCGTTAATCAGTTATTGACTATAGATTAGCTCAGTCACTTTATCTGTATTCAATTAAACCTACGTACATTGAGTATGGTGAAGTACAATTCTATAAATAGTGTACTGTTTTTATAGCTACATGGCGATATCAGTTGAGATTCATTCAATCATTTTGGAAATCACCAACCCATAAAAGTGGGTCGTTCTATCATAATCTTGAATAAACTTAGCTCTTAACCATAAGAAAAATGTAACTACACAGATAGATATGAATTGTAGGACTTGGGATAGATGTTTACTGATCCGAACCGCTGCGATTCGTACGACTACAAAATAAATGAACAAAAATAAAAATGTGATAGTTGTGAATACTTAAGTTTCATAACGAAAAGTCTCATCTAAACCTCCTTTATTGTTATTTCCTAATTATAATAATGTTATTATAATTTTGATTGGCTTCAACATTAAAGCCTTATAATATTCAATACTCATAACTGATTATAATGTAACTAAAGAACTGTTTTGCCCCCAAATACCCTGGTACGGCTGAGAGTGGGAAGAGTCCGCTCTTCCTCTCGAAATGCTCTCACATGGTCGCGCGTATATAGCCTCTGCCAGGGAAGTCCTACTCACTGCCGTTTCGTGGTGGGAGTGTCGTTTATAGAAAATAAGAGGATAAAAAGAGAAGGTACAGCGCTTTAACCGGGTTCGTGGATATGGAGGATCAATCTAGGCGAGTAGGAAAACCCTTACTCTAAACCAATGGTACACATGGGCTCCAGTATCCTGAAGGAACAAATGAATCTATTGTTGGTCACCGACTACCATAGAATTGCATCTCTTTACTATGCTCCACTACCTTGTAGATCAGACCTTTAGGTCAAAGGCCCCCTACGTAAACCACATGTTTCGGTTTATGCACGTAAACAGTATCACAGCCTTCACACAAATCGAATGAGATTTGTGTGGCGCATATATATCTGGTGCCCCCTTTGTACCAATATTTATGTATTAAAATAAATATATTAATAATAAAGAACTGTTTTACAATACACAATACTGGTTAAGTTTACTGTATACTCTCAGTCTGACAAGTATGGCTTAATATGAATTAGATTTAAGTAGTCATTCGATTGATCTAAATCGAACAAAACTATTGTCAAATGTTTTGAGTAATAATCTTTTTAAAAAAAATTATCAAATTTCATAAGAATTTTAATTGAGATCAATCGAATAGATCTCGATCATTGATCACATATCAACTAGATTGGATCATTCATTTATTCGATCAATTAATATGTTACGATCTAGTGATCAATTGAATTTCTTCTATGGTATTATCTTTTTATTGACTATTCAACAAATTTATGCACCACCTATTTTATCAAATCCCACGTATCAAAGTTATTCAGTTAATTATATATCACCTAACAATCAATGGCAAGAGGTTCCAGAACCAACAACTAATATATTTGACGCTGTAAGAAACCAATCACCAACTTATCAAAATAAAGTTTCAAATTTATTTGGCTTAAATCCGGCTGTTGGTAGCGAAGGATATAGAATCCTTCGTTCTGATGATGAATCTTCGGCATACGTCATACCAACGACAGCAACAACAACACCACAAAAGACATTTCCCATAGACAATGATCTAGAAGATGGTGAATTAGAGACATGGATTCACCAAATGAATGGAATAGACAATAGACGAAATGAATATGTTTCACCTAGTCAAACGATATGGAACACTCAGCCGTATGGAGGTTGGAATGTGCCACGTCACTCGAATACCTTAAGTTTTCATCACACTTCACCACCACAAAGACAACTTCTGACTCCGGCCTACACTGCATCTGTTCCATATCAGAATAGAAGGAATTCACTTTCAACTAGTTACTCAAGTGCTTTCACAACACAACAAACCAACTTTCCTACACAAAGACCTAGCCTCGGGCCACCGGTAGATATTATTCGAAAGAATAGGTACACTGGATTCCAACCTAATCAGCAACCACCAATTTATACTTCAAACGTGTTTCTCAGACAACCTTTTAACTCTTTTAGAAGACCAATGTTCTCAGGTTACTTGGTTCCAAACTATCAAGCATTAAATAAAGCAACTTTTCGAGGATACAGACCAAATACACCATCAAGTGGCAATTTAAATTACCCAACACTAGGAACTACAAGTCAATATAACAGTACAAGAAGGTCACCTTTTAGCTAGTAAGTGTACATGGATCCTACTGATTAAAACACTGAGATACATTTTTAATTAATATATTCAAGTAATGTTCATTTCTCAATAAAATATCATAAACAATTTTGTTTTAATACCTGTATTTGCTTTATAATGCTGAGTGTGATTCAGGACAGGGTTGGATCGAGAATGCTGGTGAGCGGCCTATGCTGCTCCATGAGGGGTAATAGGCGTAAGTAAGTAATTAAGCTAATTGTGATTACTTTTATCTAAGCTGATGACTTGGGGTACTTTAAAAAATAAGGAATTCAATCTCATCAAGAGCTGGAGAATTATTATGTGATTGACGTGACTTTGTAGTACTTCCATACTAAATACCAACATCCTAATGAACCTCTTGAGATGGATTTCATGATTTAGATAATCATTCATGATCTGATTCATAGTATTTTCTATTTTTAAATCTGCCTACGTGAATAGATACTGTCAAAACATAGTCCGTCAAACGAATCAATGAACCATTTAGTCCCATACTATAATTCGGAAGTTCGTAAAGAATATACCTTGTCTAAAACATTACAATCGGTTTGGTTATTTAGAGGATTTAACTAATGATGAGGATCAGTCTCCAAACAGGAAGTTCACTAATCAACTTGGAATACTTGTTAAAGACACTGACTTGACTCAGTTTTATTGAGTAACTGTGAATTCCTGTGTTAGATGAGTATGTCTCTCTCTAAATACGAAATGCTTATTTAGGACTGATCTGCATTATCTCCGAGATCGATCATAATTAATAAATTAGTTGAGTATGTTAGTCAAATCACTGACGTTGGAAGGTTCATCAGTCACGATGAGTTAATGTCTGAAGAAATTTCGGTATGGATTCAAATGTATCATTTGGCATCTTCTAACCTGTCTCTGTGAAATAGCCGAGATATTCATCTGTCGACTAGGGAACAAGTGTGCTACCTAATAGTTCATCTTCATTACCCATTGGCTATGATACATGGTATTGAACAAAGATGAAATTCTTGGGTTGCAGATTTCAAACACAGGTGTGTTTGGAGCATTTCTTGAGTAGTGCGTAACGACCAAGTAAGGAGTGTTGAGATTGATTATAGTGTACAGGAGAATGAGGCTAAATTGGTTAATGTAGTTGAAAAATTTCATCGACTAGTTTATGACACTTAACGATCCCAATAACTTCCTCACAAATTTGGTCGGTACATTCCAACTGAAAGATTAAACCTACTGTAATCAAAGAATTTATTTGTGTAGGAGATATTCACCTTAAGTAGTAAGACTGAATAGCTTTCGAATAACAGTTGGTAAATCAAGGTTTGAAGGTGAGTTTCGTGAAGTAACCTATATGGTTCTACTTCTATTCGCTATATTAAACAGACCTGTAAGATGAATATTAGTGTGGAATATTTTGTTGATGTTTTATATCAATAAAATAGGCGGATGACCTACACTGATATCTTCTTATGAATTGGACCATATCATGGACTTCAACAGAATAATCAATATTTCTCCAATTTAAAAATCTTCATAGGATATTGAAAGACGAAGAAAATTTGAGCAAAAACTTGATTTCAATAACTTCATCATCAGGTTCTACAGTTATAAGTCCATAGTTGTTGTAGTCTTTTACAAAGGTCATAATAAGATATGTATTACTGAAATGGATAATGTTGTATGTTAAAAATGGGGAACGTATTCATCTGTTACTACATGAATACTTCAAGATAGGGTTATTTGTAAATTAGAAAAGATCATCAAATAAAGGTCAGAACGATTTGTGGTCAAGTGTTAAGTTATAATCAATCTAATTGTAATGCAATAAGTCAATTCAATGAATTTGAAGTTTCTGTTAGTAATGAGGATTTTTAACAAAGACAGGTTTTAGTAGACCTGAGACAGTGTTTTGCGCACTAGAATCGTTGGTCATGATGACACCTGAGGAGAAAGCCGAAAGAGAAAGTTTAGTGTTGAAAGTCGAGATGGGAGGAGTAATAGGAATTAAAGAAGGAGATCGACTACCAATCTTGAGTGCTGTTAGAGTTATGAGGGTAGTTATCACTTCCCGGTTGCCCACACCGTGGAAGGGTTCTTCCGGAGGTACCTGGAAAGAAAATTGGATTACAAGTGGTCTTAGTGACCTGAGAGCGTGACCGCAGTGCCCAAAGGGACAACTGCTTGAGGTCGGTCGCACACGACCTTATTGTAATTTTCGTGTTAGCTCCGTACTTGTTGAGACCATACTTCCGAAGAAGGATATCCGTAGGATATGGCGAGGTGTGCATTTTGAGGATCAACCCTTTCTAACCATATACTTCCATTGTGGGAAGGCGACATTGCTGTCATGCCGGTTATCTGAGGTTTACACCTTACTGCTGTCCCACCTCTGTACAGTCAGCAGTACGAATTCTTCATCGAACCTTAGATCTGCTGCTTTCAGTCCTACCGACCTCCCTGACATGGTAGGACCTTGAGGAACGATTGTTCCAGCCAGTATAGCTCAATTGGTCTTTCACGATAGGCAAGCTTCACCATCACGTCAAGGTAGCAGCAAGGGTCGGGTATATGGTGATAAATGTTCATGAATTTGTAAAGAAGAAAAGTTAGAACACGAATGCATAATAGAAGAATAAAACGTTCATGAAATTTATTTTAGTATCTAAAATTACCAGTTTCGAGGTCCACATCACAGTGGCATCATAGAATAATTGTAGTCATCCATAATTACAGAAAAGACAATGGGAAAGGAGATCACCGATTTACAACAGCAAAAATTACTGTAATAGATAGTAACCGACATTACAAACCACATCATTTCAAATAGTCAAATTACATATCTCTATTCTTTACATATAACATTGCTTTCTGTATTAATCTGATCATATCTGTAAATTAGCATGGTTGTTTTTTCTAGTAACCGATGTGTGTATGTAATAAATTGAATGATGTGAATTAACTAAGTGATATTAAAAGTGGGATAATAATTGCACACTATTGAAATTATGAGTGTCGAAATGTCTCCAACTAAGAACTTACATCCATAGATTCTAACTCCTTGGTGTATGAGAAACGCTCTCACCATGTAATCTCAAAGTTGTGAGTCCAATCGTGTATTGATGAGAATTCCTCTATCAGGATGAAACAGCTACCTATTTTTTCACGGTCTTCATTGGTTCCTCAAACGATATTAATCCGTAGAGAAAATCGACTTGAAATTTTTCTACAAGAACTTTACAACAAATTGTTATATGCGGACGAAGAATAAGTGAATAGTAACCGATAGGATCTATTTGTGGTCGATTATTACATACATTCTCATTGTATAACTATTAAGTAACAACATTATATGTATATTCATCTTCCTTTCATTATGAGCTTTTACTTGACCACTTGACTATTATTATACGATTTCCTGCTTTTAAGATATTCCCAATTTATTAGTAACAATGTCTCACAATTACAGCCACTTTTTGGCTTGATCTTGTATAAGTGTTACTTTCTGTTTTACAGTATGGTGCGGTCTGGTTAGTTTGTATATAAACCCAGTACATCTGAAATATATGATTCATATAGCAGATGCTGATATTGGTATTTTGGACTAAACCGGCTGCGTTAGGAAAGAAGCTACTCTCTCAGTAATCTAATAAGAACTTAGAATTGACTCTAGAGTGCTCCCACTAGTGTATGCATCATTGGCCTGGTCAATTGGTTGAAGTTCTAATTAGCGATTGTATCACGTATTAATTAACAAGCAATAAGAATATAATGAAAATGAGAGGATAAAAAGAGAATGTACAGTTAGAAAACCCTTACTTCAAACCAATGGTGCATATTAGGCTCCAGGATCCTTAGAAAACAAATGACATATGAACCTATTGTTGGTCACCGTCTACCATGAAATTGCAACTCCTCACGATGTTCCACTACCTTATGGATCAGACCTTTAGGTCAAAGGCTCCGGGTGTGGCCCAATAAGAAAACCACCTGTTTCAGTTTGGGCACCTGGGCAGTATCACAGCCTTCACACAAATCAAATGAGATTTGTGCGGCCAATATATATCTGTTACTCCTCTGTACCAATATTTATGTGTTTAAATAAATAAATCAGAATATAACACAAATAATTTTAGAAATATATATACATATACATGTTATCATGGCAACAAATTTTAAAATAAATTGGAAAACGGAAAATTTTAGTTACCTCGCGAGGCGAGGTCGTGAATACGCACTGCTGAAGAATTTTACAATAGGACGAAACGACCGTCTAGTACTTCCAGGTTTTCCTTGGTGATCTAGCTTCAATTAACTCATGCTTTCAACTATGATAATTAAAAGTTTTCTACATAAAAATACACTTGAACCTATTACTAGTACTCATTATTAATCCATTTCATTAGTACAGCACTTTTATCAGATGGATACACATACACACATACACACACACACATACACACATACATATACACACACATACAAAACGGATTTCATTTTTTGCACTTTTCTTTATTAAAAAAAAAAAGTACAACATTTCATTGGATATAGTATTACCATAAAGTATGTTTCATTTATTGTGTTTAGCTAATTGATCAATGATTTCACCTTCTTTTTCATCTACTTCTTCTAAGATTTGATTTAAATAGTTAACCGATTAAGAAACCCGTCACTTTTTAAAAGAAATGAATATAAGAACAGAATGAAGTAAAATCTTGGAAAATTAATTAAAAATTTTAAATTTTATTAAAAAATGGGAAATACAATATCCTGTAAGTAAATTGAGTTGTTATATAATAACTTTTTTAAAATATTGCTGGGTGGTGATTAATTTCATATGTGTTAAATCCTTTTTTAGTGTTAATCAAATACTATCGATCAAGTTGAAATATTGACACTATATACACTATGTTAAGATAATATGGTGGTTCAAGGTAGTCAACAAGAAAACCCAAAATTATTAGTCAAAGAATGATTGTTTAAAGTTATCTTGAATTCGTTGAGTTTTTTAGTATCTTGTAAGGAGTCTGTATTGAACATTTCTTATGTTGTTTTCCTAATTGTTCAGTGTTTTTTTAGATTCAATTACATCATGGCCACAATCTGGTGGTGATCTGAAGCTATGTCAGCTTCACTCCTCATTCTTACATATTCCATTGTCCTTCAGAAATTTTTTGTTGATATAAATATTATTTATCTGGTTCTTTTTAGTGTGCTCCTTTGAGATTCATATTGCTTTAGATATGATTTGTGTGGAGGAATATTGTGCCGTCTATAATCAATTTGTTGAATGCACAAAGGTTTGCAAATCTCTTCTCATTTATATTTCTCTTTCCTATTCTATTTAGTCGGATGATATCTTTATATTCGGTGTTATTCATTACAACTTTGACGTTTAGATCTCTCATTATTGAGGTGAGATCCTTTTTAAGCCAATTCATTATCATTGATTGCAGCCTCTTCTCATAATAAAGGAAAATGAATAGGGAAATGAACTGCTAGCCCTAAGTTTTCAATGTGAGTCAATATTTTGCTTAAGTTAACGATCCATAAAATTTTTAACCACTTAATGTTTACTTAAATTTGAAAGGAATAGTCTAAAATCTTCATCATTCATGATTAAAAACAGCTGGTTATTTTCAAATCTCATCCAACTACGTTGTAGAAGGACTGTATTCATCATTACAAGTCAAAACAAAGATGTTGAGTACTTGAGTAAAAAAGACGTTCTGAAAAAATATAAGATTTCCCTTTTTTTAACAAATATTTGACAAGAGAAACCGTTGAAACATATACGCTTCTCTATTTGGTACATTCAAAATGCACAATGTTGCTTTAGGACTGATCTGGATTATCTCCATGACCAAGCATAAGCACTGAGTTATTTTAGTGCGTTAGTCATTTCACTTATCTTGAAAGGTTCATCAGTCATGAAGAGTTAGTATCTGACGAAATCTCTGCACGGGTTCAAATTTATCATCTGGGTTTTTCTAACTTATACCTCTATAGTATATGCGAGATATCTGAGTGCCAACCAAAGGACGAGCTAACTGAGCATCGGTGTACACTGTTCCACATTATCTGAAAAGCATGGTCATTAAAAACAAAAGATATTCATAGGTTACTAGTATTCGGTTGGAGGTGTCTTCGAAGCATGACTCATGGTTTATTCGACCACTGAGGAAACAATCATATGTTTAGGCAAAAGGATGCTGAAAAAAATAACAAACCGATCGATCAAGCAGTGAATCTTTACTAAATGAGGTGATTGGAATGTGTACTATGAATGCTTAACCACTGCATATTTGAATGGGACAATCTTGTTTGGTGTAGAAGTAGGTGGGAAGAAATCTAGGGGTAACTAAACCAAGACATATTATTATCAATCTATAAAGTCGTTGACTATTGGAATAACTTATTTAGGTAGGTGTAGATTCCCTTGTTCGGGACCACGCAATCATCGTGACTGGTGGTTGAAGACGTTAGACGAAAAGGTTCTGAATCTATCACTATTGGGCTGATTCATTCACACTTTTGTATCCTCTGTCTCTAAGTCTACTACTTACTGCTTTCTCGCAGCATCGTTGGGCAAAAATTTGTGCTGATGATGTTCAGAATGATCGACAAAAGCTCCAGGACTAAACTACCCAGCTCAAAGAACAAAACTTCACCATAACTACAAATCTTCTCCATCATCTTAAAATAGTTACACCTTATTAAATATTCTTTCATTATATAAAACTTAATCAATAATCTGAAATAGAAAAAAAAAGGAAAATCGATTTTTTTTTCACAGAATGATAAAATAAAAAAAATCTGAATAAAACTTTTAATTCCGTTTTTTTCAGCTTATTGATCGTTGTTTACTTAAGACACAAATTATTGATTAGAAAAAATCGATAAAAACAATATCGATCAATATTACTTATTATCATATAATGAGTAGTTTACATGATATAACCTATTATGATAATTATTCATATATATATATAATACAAGTAATGTTACAATTAAATAGTATAGTCATGATTGTAATGATGATAATCGATTGTCTAGAACAAGTTTACTCATGAATCTTAACTAGTTACTGAAATCAAGTTACTTCTTATCTGATAAATGATATTTATTTCATTATCTAATAAAGATTATTGGTGGTCTATCGGTTTAGCACCCTGGCGCGAGACTGATAGATCCTAGGTTAGAATCTCGTGAGGCGGGATCGTGAATGTGCAATGCTGAGGAGTCCCACAGTAAGACGAAACGGCCATCCAATGCTTCTAGGTTTTCCATGATGGTCTAGCTTCAATTGACTCATAATTTCAACTATATATAAAAATTAATGTATATTTGTTTGAAAAAAATAATAATCATGTACAGGACTAACATTATGATGAGGGGAGGAGACAACTGAGGACAAGCGTTTTACCTAAGGTTTCTGCTACTTTGTGTATATATGTGTGTGTTTATCAGTTAAAACTACATGCAAATTTAAAGATCTAAATTTAATAATCCAATATTGAAGATATTATTACTGAGATGGAGGAGAAGATTTGTAGCTCAGGTGGATGATTTCAATGGAGTTTTGTGCTGATGATGTCGTTTAGAAGGACGATGAAACCTCCATGGTCAAATTATCCATCTGAGAGAACAAAACTCCATCAAAACATTATTATTGGATTAATATCGGTAAGTAAAAATAGGTGCTTAAATTTGAAACCGAACAATATGTTACATTATTATACACTGAATTCGTTTGTCTCAATTTCTCAATAGTTACTAAAACCTTGATTAGATAATCTTTTAATTGATAGTAGTATGTTTTATACTCCATATAAATATGACATAACTAATTATATTCATGAAAACTCTACGTCATAACTTAGAAAAATGGCTCTATTCGCTATATGGTTTAGTATCCTAGTGAAATGAAGACTTATATCAATCTAATTAATCCATCATATAGATAGAAACGTTCTGTGTTAATACCTAAATATCAGTCAGTTAGGGAAACGTAGGACCTGACAAACATTTTAATTGGTTCAAGTTGCCACATAATATTAGTACACGGTGGTGAAATTATCGAGCTAAATCCCATAGTAATAAGAGTATCGACAGTATTTGTAGTGGAAAAGTTCAAGCATACAATCAAGAAACAAAGTATATGACTCAAACACTAAGGATCCAAAAGAATGAATGAATCAGCCCAATAGTGATAGATTCAGAACCTTTTCGTCTAACGTCTTCAACCACCAGTCACGATGATTGCGTGGTCCCGAACAAGGGAATCTACACCTACCTAAATAAGTTATTCCAATAGTCAACGACTTTATAGATTGATAATAATATGTCTTGGTTTAGTTACCCCTAGATTTCTTCCCACCTACTTCTACACCAAACAAGATTGTCCCATTCAAATATGCAGTGGTTAAGCATTCATAATACACATTCCAATCACCTCATTTAGTAAAGATTCACTGCTTGATCGATCGGTTTGTTATTTTTTTCAGCATCCTTCTGCCTAAACATATGATTGTTTCCTCAGTGGTCGAATAAAATTGATAAATTTGAACCCGTGCAGAGATTTCGTCAGACACTAACTCTTCATGACTGATGAACCTTTCAAGATAAGTGAAATGACTAACGCACTAAAATAACTCAGTGCTTATGCTTGGTCATGGAGATAATCCAGATCAGTCCTAAAGCAACATTGTGAATTTTGAATGAGCCTGTATTTTGTTTAAGATGATCATAAAACTCTGTATTTTTTCTGCAACTTCATCAAATAGGACAATGTCATCTACACATTTCAAGTGGATAACTGAGTCTTTCAGTGAAATAATAGTGTCACAAAGTTCAAATGAGGACTTATCTCCAAAAGAATGTCTGCCCCAAATTTTGATAAAACTTAGTAAAGCAAATAATTTTGATGACCATCCTTGAAATTCGATAATTCTGATGAAGTTTGGTTAGTGTTCAGGTAGGGAGCCTATACAAGGTTGATGTACTTCTTCGGTAGGCTTTTTAATGATATAAATTATCACGGGATCTCTAGATCAATGGAGTCGAATAGTATTAGCTAGAAAATTTGATTATTTTGTGATTAAATTCCAATAAAGTCATTTACTGAAGGCTTCATGATCATTGGCTTTATGTAGTTGCCATTTTAGATCATACGTTGGCTAAACCAAATGGTGAAGCGTATATGTTTTAACGATTTCCTTGATCAAATATTCTTTTTGAAAAATTGAAATCTTATATTATTTCAAAACAACTTTTTTACTCAAGTACTCAGCCTTCTTGTTTTGACTTGCAATGACGAACACAAATGAATCAGTACAAACTTCGGGTAGAAGTTTGTGCTGATGATGTCGTTCAGAAGGATGATGAAAGCTCCACGACCAAACCATCTAGTTCAGAGAACAAACCTGCATCAAAAAAGATGAATGCAGTCCTTCTACAACGAAGTTGGGTGAGACTTGAAAATAACTAACCACTTTTAATTTAAAATGATGGAAATTTCAACGTATTTCTTTCAAATCCAAGTAAAATTTAAGTGGTTAAAAATTTTATGGATAGTGAACTTGAGTAACATATGGACCCACATTAAAAACTTAAGAATAAAGCAAAGATGGATAGTGACTAGCAGTGAACTCGTCAGGCAATATCGATGCAATAAGAGATTGACCAGTTGCAGTCCTAAGCATCAGTAGGAATATTTAAACAAACAACACTAAGTGAATTTAAGAATAATGATTCATTTCCATATTCATTTTTCTTTATTATGTTGATTAAGAACATGAGTTAATTTCATTCTGCATTAATCTGAATGGTTTTCAAATTAGTCACAAATTTTAGATTACGAATTTAGCATGTTTCAATAATTTAAATTAGTTTGAATAAAATGAAATTCCTGCTACAGATATGACTGGAATATTACGGGTTAGCGTTTTTTAGCGAGATAGATTTCTATGGGATGTGGTCGTTAACTCTATATCCAACCCTTCTCCTTTACCCCGGCTTGGGACCCACAGTAAGTCTAAAAGAGTTACAAGCAGAGTTACGACTGTAATAAATACCACACGGGTATGACTGAACCTTGGAATTTCAGCAAACTGGTGTGAATAGAATGAAGATCGGAACCTTGTATACAGTAACATCTTGAGAAATTTATAAACTCCGCCTGTAGCTCTTCTAGAATTACTGTCAGTCCCAAGGTCGAGTAAAGGAGGAGGGTTGGGCATGGGGTTAGTGACCCCATCCCGTAGAAAAACTACTTATTTACTTACTTACTTACGCTTGTTACTCCGAATGGAGCATAGGCCGCCGACCAGCATTCTACACGTACTCTGTCCTGTGCCTTCTTTTCTAGTTCTATCCATTTTTTGTCCATTCTTCTCATATCTGTCTCTATTGCTCGCTAGAACTTGCTAAAAAACTATTAACCAAAAAATTAATCTCTGTCGTCGGAATTGACACGGTAAATTTCTCCCTTTTTTGTTGTTTAACCATGCTTTTTCTGGTTAACTGATGGATAATTTATTGATTTCTATTACATTACATAAGATTGGCTTTATCAATAAATTTTTATAATATCCCTAAATTCCCAAATCGAACTTTAAAAATGTGACTTTGTGTACATATTTTCTTTATTTTCTTTATTTATTTAGACAGAAATAATTCACTTTTAGAAACTGTTGGTAGAAATGCCTTAACTATCATTCCATTAACAACTGCACTTAAAGATCCTACACTTTGGGAAAAATGTAAGTAGATACTTGAAAAAAAGCAGAATAGATTATGATTGGATCAAAAAGTACTTAGCTTTCAGCCTAATGTATTTCATGTAGTTATCCAAGTAATCTATACACATACAGTAGCCCCATCGTTGAATAACATTAGTATCAATTCTATATGTAGTGCATGGTTTCTATGGTGTTTATTTTTCAATTAAGAAATCCATCCTTTTGTGCGTGTACCCTTTTGATAAAGTATAGATTTCATAGAACAGTGATTGTCACTTACTAGCAAAATACACTCCGAATTATCTTTTACTCAGTTTTTTTCATTACTGTAAAAGGATCCAGGAATATCTTACTTACTTACTTACTTACTTACTTACTTACGTCTGTTACTCACAATCGAGCATAGGCCACCGAACATCATTCTCCAACACACTCTGTCCTGCCACTTCTTTTCTAGTTCTATCCAATTTTCGTTCATTCTTCTCATGTCCCTCTCCATTTCACGGTATAATGTGTTCTTTGGTCTTCTCTTCTTCTTTGGCCTTCAGTATTCTAAGTAAGGGCTTGTCTTGTGAAGCAGTTCGGTGATTTCCTCAATGTGTGTCTTATCCACTTCTAGCGCTTCTTCCTGATTTATTCCTCCATTGGAATCTGGTTTGTTATCTCTCACAGTAGAATGTTGCTGATAGTGTCTGCTAAACGGATCCAAAGTATTTTGCGTAGCCAACTGTTAATAAACACCTGTATCACATAAACAAAAATTCAGTAAACAAAGTGTCGTGTTTATGGATGAACGTGACTATACTGGAAACAGTGATTAAAGTAAAAAAATACTCAAAAGACTCATTTGCGCGCATTGCGTGAGTTTCAAAACAAAAGATCATTCAGTTATTTTATCATTTATCTTTCCAATTTAGTCTACTTCACTTCGATTCTAGGGTTCTAGGGTTTTCTACAAGCTGGTGTTGACAAGTTGATAATACATTTGGTATTTGCAAAATAACCTTGGATTAGGCATAGATAAGCTTTCAATTACTGTTACTGAATTAACAATATAGGTTTGTGGAGATTATGGAGCTTTGATGCCAGCTCAGTGATCTAAGAGTTAAGCGTTCATACACGGGACCGAAGGTACTGAGTTCGGATCCAGCTTGTGGGATCGTGGATACGCACTGTTGATGAGTCCCATACCATGAAGAAAAGGCCATTCAATGTATTCAAGTTTTTAATGGTGGTCTAACATTGTCACTGAATTGTTTCAAAGTTCAAAACCATGAAACGATTTATAATTTAAATGAAAAATGATTTTCCCTCTCATCTAAAGAACATTAATTTACATAAATTGTAATTAGATGAACTGAAGACAGTCTTCAGTCATCACTAGTAGATTTTCATAAATGTACTAACATCAAAGTGAGCTTTTACTGAGTTACCTTAAGCTGGTCAAGTCAAATGTACAACTACTTAGATTAATAGTTATTAAGTGAACGAGGTCATTAGAATTCGATCCTTATCGAACAATTTCTAATACAACTACAACTACAGTCAATCAGCTTAATTTAATGATGATGATGCTTTGGATGATGATGATGATGATGTTTTGGATGATGATGCTTTGGATGATGATGATGATGATGATGATGATGATGATGATGATGATGATGATGATGATGATGATGATGATGATGATGATGATGATGATGATGATTTGGATGATGATGGAATTTCAATTACAGTAATGTCTGATTCAATACAATTCCACGAACCGTATTTGTTATATGGAATTCTTGGAATAGTAGGCCAGCCACAATGTCTACTATTCAGAACTTCAAAAGTACAGGCCGTATTTATGAATGGAAACAGTAAATAACGATTTCAATGGGTAACATTTCCATACTTTAAACTAATATGTTCTACATTTAAACACTTATTAACATTTTGTTCAAGAATATGACTGTTTGATGATTATTAGTATACCCGATCATAATACTGAATGATGCTTAACACAGTAAGTATTCGACTGGTACATGTTATCTGTTAGTTATAATAAGTATGTTAACCAAAATATTACTGTGTCAATGCACATGACGTCGATGGAGTCAGTTGAATGCTGTTAAAAATATGCCGCCTGCCTATCGATCACTTTCAACAGTCAAATCATTTTTCTTCCTTTAGTATCTAAACATCATACTTTTGTGAATGATTGTTCCATCTATTCTTGTGTCAGCTCCGAGTTTTCAAAAACTCAACGTTGGCATCAAACGTTAACAGTGAAAATGAATAATATATCTATTTCTAGAGTTAGCCTTTCCTAACTAATTGTTATAAAGGAACATTATTAGAGAAATCCACAATCCATATGGAACATTTTCGTTCAAGACGGTTATTAGTATGACTTCATCATGTCTTAAACTTGTTGCACTTTCCCTTAACTTCTTCCCAGCTAGTATATAGTTCTTTCTGCGGTGGAAACTAGTATTGTCATGGAGCCCATGTTTAGTATCGAACATTGTTTTTGTACAAATGTAAATAAATAACGTTTGTGGTGACATTTGCAAGTTGTTTATTCAAACATTACTTACTTATAACCTTCTAACTTCCCCTAACTCTTACTTTGTCCAGTTAGTGTATCAAGGTAGATTTCGAATTGCTGCACAAATTTGTGCATCCATATGTTAATATGAAATCATTCATTTTCTTAAAAATTTTAGCTTCAGAAGATCTCTCCAGTTCTAATAGCCAAAACAGCAAAAGAAAAACATCTACTAATTCAAAGAGTGGAAAGCCTAAAATTCTTTCGATACAAGAATATGAAGCTGAATTGGATCATTTAACCAATGAACCAAAATCCTCGGATGATACAGACATAGGGGAATATTTTTCTGACGAGGAAAATGATGATAATGACAAAGATGAAATCCAATCTTTTACATTACCGGTAATTAGTTCTTAAATTTATATTATAAGCTTAAACGTTTCAACTAACTGTCTGACGGATTTGATCTCATGTCATCCAGCTCTACAGTCAGAGACGTTATGACTGAGCTATCCGGGCCGTGACTGACCTCCTGTAGGACTGAAATATATTTACAATTGTTTGACCACCGGGTCGATCGGATCCAATCTGCACTAAGAAAGACCTGACATACATGACATTGATCACCACTCAGTAATCAATCAGTTGTAAATATTAACAAATATTATTAGTTCAGTGAACGACGTAAACAGATGCATAACAATTAGCTAGGACAGTTCACGAAGATTTTTCTATTTTTGCTGATACCATGAACTAACTTTAAACTGATGGCAGAGACAATCAGTAATTTTCGATCAGTATCTAGAATTTGCTGAGATCAAAACTGTAAACAAATGTCTCCCAAATTGCCAGTTTTAAAGTAACGATAAATCCCCCAAACCCAGAGGTTGTACTCTCAATGCCAGGGGAAGTTGTAGGCGTGTACCAGTGATCAGTTTCATATTAAGACGAAGTATTAGTTGACTGCTTGCTTCATACACTTAGTTCCCTCTATTATCTTGAAGAGAGCACTTTTTCTTTGTCTTCAGTTATTTCCTTGCAGCAAACATTTAACCTCTAATCATCACTCTCTGATAAACCCGATCCTGGGTTCGATCTGCAGGGAAATCGTGGATAAATACTTATAAGCATTTCCGTACTAAGAAGAGCTATCAGGTCCTACCTAGATTTTTTTATTAATAAGATCAGGTATTGAAGTTAGCTATGAAATGAGTGTGATCCTTTCAAGACTATGAACATGAATTTGATGGAGTTTTGTTCTCTGAGCTGGATGGTTTGGTCTTGGAGCTTTCATCGTCCTTCTGAATGACATCATCAGTACAAACTTCGGGTAGAAGTGAAGCGTTTGAATTTCTAAATATGTGATTCACAGCTTGTCCTGTGCACCTCGATGTTGATCAATTCTTGTTGACCTTAAATCTGTCATTGTTTATTTCTTCTCCACCATCTCATTGTGAACATGATTATTTCCTAATTCATTTAAAGAAATGAAATTGTCCCGTATGTTTAACTAATACAGTGATTTATCTTAACACTTTGCAGAATTCAAGCAAACTACAATTGTCTGTTCATTATAATGATGCAGAACAAGAAATGCATGTGAATGTTATTCGTGCAAACAATGTACCAGGCAGAGAAGCTGGTGGACCTTCAGCTTATCAAGTATGTCTAAGTGATTTTATAATAATTTGTGCCATACCTATAGATTCTTTACTATTAATACAGCCATTACATAATCAAATAACTGACTGAATTGTTGTATCCTGAGATGGTTGTCTTGGTGATAAGTAAAAAAATTATAATAATTTATTAAGGTTCAGATCATAAGTTTTCAGGTGAATCCAACTTATTTTACGTTAAATATTTAGCTACTTATTAGTAGTATAACTCTGTATTCAAAATTATTTAAAAGTTAACCAGGGTGAAAACGTGTCACTGAAATTTCATTAAGGTAAATATTTCGAATAAAAGTTTTTTTATTAGATTAAGGTACTACAATGAACAATTAAGTCTGCATTCGATTGATAACCTTGTTTGATCTAATATAAGTGGTCACATAGTTTGTTTAAAATAAATTTTCTTTTATCATTTAGACGTAAATCTATTCTCATAGTTGAAATCTTGAGTCAATTGAAGCTAGAACACCAAGGAAAATCTGGAAGCACTGGATGGCCGTTTCGTCTTATTGTGGGACTCCCTAGAAGTGTGTCTCTACGATCCCGCCCCGCAAGATTCGATAAACTTTATAAATAACAATCTACTTTTTTCTACATTCTTTTATTTCTAAAAAACCAAACTTTAAAAAAGATTAGATTATCTATGGAACCAGATAATAAACAATATTGGGAAAGTAAAATACGCATAGCACCAAATCCCGAATACTTAGAAGAATGGAAATTCAAAATTCCTCTTGGTATGTTTATTGTTTATTTTATTATAGAATAATCACAGTTAATCGTTTGAAAATTGTATGATTCAATATCAACTTGGTGATAAAATAAAGTAATACATTTGAAGATATCCCAATGAGTAGAAGGCTTAGATTTTCTGATGTTTCGTTAATCAGTGTAAACCACTTCTTCAGAGAATAAATAACCAATCACTTTGAGCTCTCCCAGAGTATCTTAGCCAACACATAAAATCAAAGATATTTCAATGGTTAATTATTCCTTGAAGAAGTGGTTTATACTGAGTTACGAAACATCAGAAAATCTAATTTTTCTACACATTGAGATATCTATAAACATATTAGTTTTATTTATAACCATCGACTTAATGCTCAATCTAATCGAAATTATCAAGTTAAACCTTGGCAACGATGTCTATTAACTTGGGATTATTTCGAAGATGATCACGAAACTGATGTCGAATGACTAGTCTGTAGAAAACTTATCTGGTTACAAAAGATTTTTTAGAAATTAACAAAACTTTCAGGTAGATATATTAGAAGGCGATCTACTTGAATATCTAGGCTACCTATTCCCACAATCTAGATATTTCAACAAATTATCTAATTTTGCTTGTTTTAATACATCATTATGGCTATTAATCGCATATTCTGTTCACTTGTAGTTATGATAAGTGTACAACTTTTTGTTGTAAAAGTTAGAAAAAGGCTAAATCAGAGACATCGTCGTTGTTTGAAGGCAATATGCATCTAAAAAGAATGTACATTATTAAGATGTCAATTGACTGGAATGCTAATTTTTAACTGGCGATCCCTCGTTATTTATTGTCAGAATCAATGAAGAAGTAAGAAATGTAAACTTGTTCAAAGAACATTGTTCTAAGAATTTTATATTGTACCAAAAATCCACTATTGAATACAGCTAATAATAATAATATTAAACATGCTAAATCCTTCAAACTAAGGATTATTTTTCCATTATACGTTTGTAGTATCACTTTATATGTTAAGCCCATATACTTTATTCTAGTTGCTGGCCAAGCCAATTCGCCTATCCATTATGAGTCATATTTTGATCTTGTTAATTATTCGCTTATTAACCTTGACTATACTTTTATATGAGCGTATATGTGTACACTTCGTATCTTATTCATTATATGTCTGTCACTCATTTTTGTCCGACTATAAATGTTGATTAACGCTTGGTTAAATTGAGTTGGCTTCTCAGCCATCTCCAATACTCATTATCTTTCGCTTCGCTCTCGAGTTGGCTCCACAGCCAATCTCCATTGCGCATGATCTTTCGCATCGTTCGCTTCATCACTCTGATTCTCTGACCAGATCAATGACTGTAGAAAATATATGTATTCTAAATCCATTCTCGTATTTGACGTATTTAACTCCGTTGTTCACCAACGCGGATATAGTCATTTATTACATACGAGGATAGACAGTACGTACGATCAAAAAGGAATCAGATTTACGCCACTACACGTTTATTGGTTGCCAAATATGGGCTAATTCTAGAAATAGATATATTATTCATTTTTACTGCTAGCGCTTGATACCAGAGTTCAGATTTTTAAACCTAAAAGCTGGCAAAAGAACAAATGAAACATTCATTCACAAAAGTAAAGTGTATAAATACTAAAAGAAGAAAAATGATTTGACTGTTGAAAGTGATCGATAGGCAGGCGGCATAATTTTAACAGCATTCAACTGACTCCATCGACGTCATGTGCATTGACTCAGTAATATTTTGGTTAACATACTTATTATAACTAACAGATAACATCTACCAGTCGAATACTTACTGTTAAGCATCATTTAGTATTATGATCGGGTATACTAATATTCAATAAACAGTCATATTCTTGAACAAAATGTGAATAAGTGTTTAAATGTAGAGCATAATAGTTTAAATTGTGAAAATGTTACCCATTGAAATCGTTATTTACTGTTTCTGTTCCTAAATAAGGCTTTTAATCTTGGAATTCCTAATAGCAAAGATTATGGTTGGCATACCATGGGCTCCAGTATCTTGATTGAACAAATGGAGTATGAAACTAGTTTTGGTCACCGTATACCATGGGGCTGCCATCTTCTGGCTTTGTTTCACTGACTCACGGGTCAGATCTTTAGGTTAAAGTCTTCGGGCGTGGCTCCTTAAGTATTCCATATACTTCAGTTTGGGCACCCGGTCAGTTTAACAGCCCACACACAAATGAAGTGACTTTTGTGCCGCAAATCTACTTAGTGCCCCTTTATATTAATATTTATGTGTTCAAATAAATAAATAAAGTATATAAATATGTTTATCCTAAATTTTATAATTCACAGTCACTACAGGAACCAACTTAATTGACAATGAATCTACATTTCCACTATTTTAACGTTCACTTGATATTTTATTTTCACCTAAATCATCCATCCTAACTTCTTAATGATCAGTGAAACTACTTCAAAAAATCTACTTACAACCTGTTTTCTAGACAAACCTTACCTCTAAATCTCTTTAGAGAAACTGACTTTCAATTTTATATGTCAGAAGGGGTTTTGTGGAGATTTCAGTATTTTCATAGTTGAAAGTATAAGTCAGTTGAAGCTAGACCACCTGAAAGTACTGGACGGCCGTCTCATCCTATTATGGGACTCCTCAGCAGTGCGCATCCACGATCCCACCTCGCTAGATTCGAACACAGGACCTACCAGTCTCGGGCCAGAGGACTTAACCGATAGACCACTGAGCCGGCTGGCATCCAACGGTGTTAATGTCCAATCCACGAAGTTGAGCAACCGTTCATCAATTGTCTTCAGTAAGTTTATATCTCACAACAGACGTAATTTGAACTCCACTGGTCACTGCTTCTCATTAGAACTCCTGGATTTACCTCTCGAAGTCAGTCACTAGTGAGCATATAATAATAAATATTATTATCAGAAGGGGTTTTATGGAGATTCAGTCGCATGATAGGACGAAACAGCCGTCCAGTGTTTTCAGGTTTTCTATGGTCGTCTAGCTTCAACTGACTCACGCTCTCAACAGGTTTATATGTCTCTATATTTCTGTACACTTATACTGTATATTACTCCTTATATGATATTTGTATTAGAAGAGTCACAATGGTAAGTGTATGAGAATTTTCGTCTAATTCTTGACTGTTTCTTTAAATATATACCAAAATCTTCTGATGTTTACCTTCTATTCATTTATTGTTTGACAATTGTCAAGTTACAATTCATAAATCTACGCTTATTTGTCGTATCGTTGGATATTTTGGAAGTGAAGAATATCTGTATGGAGAATCTCAGTTGCCATTTGAAAATTTAAATTTAAATATTGAAAATGTTCTCACAGTAAATTTTCAGCCGATCCGTATTTTACCGCGTTCACATGATTTGCAATTAACAAAGGTAATTACAATCGTTGCTAAATTTTTTTAAATTAAGCCAACTTACTTATTTTTAATTAAGTAGTAAACATTTATTATAAAAATAATGATTAACAACATAGTTGATCCATGTTATTCAGTACCTTTCATTTGAACATTCACAAATCTTGATGATTTTTAATTGTGAATTGTTATATCTAGAGCCTAGGTTCCTAACAGACCGTGTAAAACTTAAAAACTTGAATGTTAGAACCCTCAAAGTCACAAAATGAGAAGACAGAAGTCAAGTGATAGGAATGCTATTCCAAACAGTGTCATATATGGTACAAAACTACCAGGTATTTATAGTCTTATAGTAAAAGAGAAATCATCACTATGAAATCCAATCCGCATACACGGAGCTTTAACAATTGTCTAGTAAGGAAGCTACAAGTAGAGATTCTGGAGTATTCTTCTAAAAGTGATTGGATGGAACATCTCTTTTCTAAATATGAAGTCATTTACCATCAAAAAATCAGTGGCCCAGTTACTTCTTACCTAATTCCGTCTCAGTTAATTGTAACGAAATATAACCTGGAATGTACTTCACTATCTTAATGCATAATTGTATTGTTATGAACTCTAATCACAACTCTATTACATTGAATTAAACGTTATTTTGGTTTAAGATCTTAAGTAAAATAAGTTTGCTAATGTACGCCTCTTTGGATGCTTGCTCTTCGACTTATTTATTTAGAACTTACTTCCTCTCTTATTAACGTGAGTTCCTTTAAACAGCAGTCTTTTGCACACATAAGAAAAGATACGTGTCCAAGATTCTGTAAAGAGTCCTTATTACCCATGTTCAATATGTGTACAGTTTCATACAACTTCCTATTCATTTAAACGACGAAAGTTATATAGAGGGGTATAATTTTCACTGAGGATGCTAGTTTAAGCTCTAAATTTTACTTAATTTGCTTCTTTCGTCTGGCAATTTGGCATGAGAAACTTTGGTATGTTCATAAAATACATATGTAGATAGCTTTAGATGTAAACCTTTTTGACCACTGAAAGGTAAAATGCATATTCAACTAAACCATTACAAGGATTAATAAAATGGTTCTCTGAGCTGGATGATTTTGTCGAGGAGATTTCATCGTCTTTCATCGATTGTTCCTTAATTATCTATTTACAGTTTAGTTCATATAAAATTTATTACTCACTCTGAGCATCTAACTGGATTATTGTTACCATTCAAAGTCGACTCTAACCATGAACTGAAATCAGATGGACAACTTTGAAAGCTAACAAATCAATGAACATCTGTTTCTTCAGCAAGATCATAATTTATGAATGAGCCGATCAGATTTAAAATAGCAGATCTTGGATTTTGGTGCAAAATTCATTAACTCATTTGGTTAAATACCATTTTGGTATTATAGCTGATATCAGTTGGTGATGAACACATTAAATTTGATTTTTAACCCTAACGTTCAAATTGAAAATCCACTTATAATCACTCACACTAATATATAACTTTCATTTAACCCTAGTAAATAGATGAATATTCCATGGTCATTTTAGCGTTGCTCAAAGGTCGTCCATAAATTATAGTCTCATCGCAATGAGTCTGAATTCACTAGTCCAAAACGATAATTGAAATCTGTTACCACAGTAACCCAACGTTGTCACCTAATTCTGACTTATTCCTCTGCTTAATTAGATGATTTGGACTGCGCAGATGACCTAGCCATCCTATCTCATACACACGGACAAATACAGACGAAGACAGCAAATGTAGAAGTAGACTCTGGATCAATAGACCTCAACATACACAAAATAAAAAGCAAGATTCTCAAATACAACACGGAGAACACCAACCCAATCACACTTGATGGCGAAAATCTGGAAGATGTGGAATCATTCACATACTTGGGAAGCATCGTTGATAAACAAGGAGGATCGGATGCAGATGTAAAGGCGATGATTAGCAAAGCAAAGGCAACATTTCTACAATTGAAGAACATATGGAACTCAAAACAACATTCAACTAACTTCAAAGTGAGAATCCTCAATACGAACGTCAAGACAGTTCTACTGTACAGAGCTGAAATGTGGAGAACTACTATATCCATCTTCAAGAAGGTACAAGTATTTATAAACAGTTGTTTACGCAAAATACTCAACATTCACTGACCGGATACTATCAGCAATAGCGTTTTATGGGAGAGAACAAATCAGCTTCCAGCTGAAGAGGAAATTAGGATAAGACGTTGGAAGTGGATCGGACATAGATTGAGGAAATCACCAAACTGCATCACGAGGTAAGCCCTAACTTGGAATGGTGAAGGGAGGCGGATAAGAGGATGGTCAAAGAACACATTACGTCGGGAAATAGAAGCAGATATGAAAAGGATGAATGTCAACTGGAAAGAACTGGAAAGGATTGCCAAGAACAAAGTTGGGTGGAGAATGCTGGTGGTTGGCCTTTGCTCCTCGACGAGGGGTAACAGGCGTAAGTAAGTAAGTAAGTCTATGCCCAGAAATCTTTATATACAAATGATTTATCCAAACTTTCCATTGAAAATAATCTCTTTACCATCTCTTTAATTAACAGACAGAAAATGAAACAGACGGTAATTGTAAGAATGTAACTTCAAAAGCAACCGACCAAGATCGACCGTCGATTTGTCCACAGAATGAAAATGCCATAATTTTGAATACACGATTATCTAAAGTTTTATTGATGCTTCGATTGAATCAAATTACTGGACGATTTGAATGTTGTATTCAACAAATTAATCTTATTGATATAAGGATAAGTAAAATACCAAAACGAAGTAAGTTATGGGTGATTATTCACCTTATGATGAGTTTCTTTTATCTAAGGAAAGATTTACTAAGGGAATAAATATTTAGGTCTTACTCAAGTCAATACTCAAGTTAATCGAACTGTAGTATGGTCTACTTATATCCATATAAGTAGTATATGATGATTATCAGACATAGAATGTATTTTTTGGTAGAAGACCGATAAGGAAAGAACAGGAATGAAGTGCAATCGGTATCAAAACGCAAGAACAATGAAATTAGAGAGGATGGATTGATATTTACAGAAGGACCAGTGAAGATTGAGACAATTGGTTGATAGTTTACACAATAAACTAATTACTGTATGGTTGTCAGAATTTAGTAAGATAGTCTGTGATTTATGCTTAAATACATTCGATTGTCCCCAGTCCTGTATTGTTCACTACAGAACAACCAAATATAAAAATAAATATCAAGTAATTGAAGCCAGTCAACAGGAATACTTTGAGTTAGGTTTTATCTTAGCAGTCACTGATTAGTAAAGCGTACCTATAATCTCATACCGCATTAGAATTGCAACTGGGTTACCTAGTGTCATGAATTCCTTGTTGATTGTCTTCAAGATCCGAGTATCGATTATAACATACACCATTTCAAGTCACTTAGACTAGTTGCTATGTTGTGACTTATATAGTAATATTAGGCAGCACTAACTAGTAGACAAATATGACATTAGCGGCAAGACTATAATTTATGGACGATCTTTGAACGAATCTTGGGTGACCTTGAGAAATGTTAGCCAATCAGTGAACAGTTAGCATAGAGTAAAAATACAGCGAGACTGTTAAGTCCTGGGTTGAAATCTCGCGAGGCGAGATCGTGGATGCGCACTGCTGAGGAATACATATAATAAAACTAAACGGTCACCCAGTGCTTCCATGTTTTCCATGGTGGTCTAGCTCCAATTGATTCATGATTTCAACTATAAAACATTCACATTTGTTAGAAATCAATTATAAAGGGAACTAAAATTCTTCTTTTGACTTTGAAACTCTAAATAGGTTTAAGTTTATTTTCAGAAATAATGAATTTCAGTCCATTTTACATGTAGTTTACCTTTAACCTTAGAAGAGGTTTAACAAATTAAACCATTTAAAGATTCAACAACTAATGAAAAGAAAGTAAAAGTTGTCATTAAAGGGTGTATGAACTTTTTAATTTATAACTAACTGTTAATGAGCATATGGGAAAATTTAAACAATAAAAGTAGAACATAAATTTTTTCAGTCATTTCCGGGAAAGTTTGAAGTATAATATTGATTGATTAATTGATTTTGAAATCTCGAAAAAAACTTAAGACTTGACAACTAAATTGAAAATCAAATACTACTGCTTAATGACTAGCTAAATAGAAGATCGATTTGATTCTAAACACATACTTAGGATCTAACTTTAATAAAGGGAAACATACTGATAAAAATTATTTTCAATGAAACCGCAAACTGATTAAATTTAGACAACCATTGAGAACTTGGAAGTACTGAATGGTCGTTTCATCCTAGTATGGAACTCTTCAGAGGAGGGTATATGCGACCTCGTAAGCGAAAAATGGAACAGAAAACTTTTGGCCTCGAGCACGAATGCTTAACCTCTAGAAAAATCTTGTGTTAAGAAAAAAATGGCCATCTAGTGATTAAGGTTTTCAATGGTCGCTGTGATCGGTTAGCGTTTCCAACGAAATTGAACAATCTCCATAACAATATACTGGAAATTTGGATAGTGTAGTAAGAAGATGAAGATTATCAGAACTATGTGATGATATAAGCAAAGATGGATAGTGGCTAGTGGTGGAATCCAGTTTGACGCGCGTTTCATCCTATTTCCAACTCGTCAGCTAGATATACCTTCATTTCAGGTTCGATGTTCACTCTGGGATTCGAACCCAGCACCGTTCGCTTCAAACGCCATCGCACTATCCACTCAGCTACTGATTCCGGATAACCACCTGCTTGTGTAATGGGGTAAAGTTTACATTCACTTGGTGTCGTTTACTTGTATCTACCCATTGTTATTTAGGACTGCGATTGATCAGTCTCCTATTGCTATATATGTATCTTGTGTGGACAACACGAAGTAAATATGTGATGATATATCAATGCAATACATTTCAAACCAACTGATCACCTATGTACTTCTTAAGAACATTTATATATACAACCAGTGTAGTTGCTATGACGATTTTTATTCGTTAATACATTATATTTACTAAATGGAACACTTTAATAAATCAACTTTAAGTACCATTAGAAGCTTTTAAACATAAAAAAACCGTAAAACTGTATGACTTGCTTACGTATTTATTCTGCTCAAGTAAATAATGAAAATTATATGCAATAAAAACTAATGATTATAATTTTCTGAAGTTGTAGTGACAAGCAGTAACCAGTGGAGTTCAACCAAGTCTGTTGTGAGATAGTAATTCACTGAAGACAATTGGTGATTGGTTGTTCAACTTCGTGGATTGGTTGAAGTTAGACACTAACACTATCGGATGCCGGCCGGCCTAGTGGTCTATCGGTTAAGCTATCTGGTATGAGACTGATAGGTCCAGGGTTTGGATCTTGCGAAGCGAGATTGTGGATGGGCACTAACACTGAAGATTCCCACAATAGGATGAAACGGCCGTCCAGTGCTTCGATATTTTCCTTGGTGGCTTCAATTGATTCATGTTTTCAACAATTATAATACTGAAATCTCCCCTTCTGATTATAATCTATTAAATATTTTTTTTTCATTTATTAGGTATCTATGTGAAATTATTTATTAGAACAGAAGAGGATGGTTTAATTCATAAAGCCCATAGTGAATCTCATCAAAAACAATCCACAATCCATATAAATGAAACATTTGCATTTTATATAAAACCATATCAAATAGGTCAAATCACTATAGAATTTTTATTAATTAAAAGAAAAGCATTGAATAAACGAATTACAATTGGAACATGTAAAATAGGTAAGTTATATGAATAGTGTAATAAGAAGATGAAAATTATCCGATAAGCAATTATGGATAGTGACTAGTAGTGGAATCCAGGACACGCGTTTCGTACTACTTAGGACTCGTCAGCTAGATGTTCACCCTGGGATTCGAACCCAGTACCTTTCACTTCAAACGACATCACGTTATCCATTCAGCTACTGAGTCCTGATAACCAATTGCTTGTGCGATGGAGTGAAGTTTAAATTCACTGACAAGTCTCAAATAAGATGAAACGTGCATCCTGGATTCCACTGCTAGTCACTATCCATTTTTGCTTGCAAAATACATATGAATATTAGCCTTGAAAGGCATTTGAATACATAAGTTAAAAGCAACTCATTTATCATGTATGAGAACAAAGTGCTTTAGCTAATCAGAGCATAATTTTCAAGTATTTTTTTAAAAATTGATAATTCAAGATATTATGAGTATAAATTAATGAAGATTTATCATGTTGTTGTCAAGTGACTATTTACAGTACTACTATTCTAGTCTTTTATAAGTAGGATTCGTCACTTAGAGACATTGTAGACTTAAGACAAGAATGTGTATCGATGCAAGTTTCTTTGTTTCAAATTAGAACATTAAGAGAACGAAAGAAACCATATGAAATAAGAAGAAGAAGAAGAAGAAGAAGAATGTCCACTTGAATGAAGATTTGAATTGAAGAACAATCAGATGTAATAACTTGCCAAATTGTATCCAATAACAATAGATTCATTTAGTACTTGAAAAGAGAGAATAAACATAATCACATGAAATCAATTATTCATAATTTGATTGATTAAAACAAGGAGGACTTAAAATTTTCAACTACTTTTAACTGATCTTAAAAGATGTTTTAATTTATAAATCAGTCAGTCAAAACGTAGAACTTCGTACGTACGTAGATCAGTTCGAGTCGCCATACCACATTAACACGGAGAGATACAGTTGTCCATTCAAATCCCATAGTGGTAGAAATAGTAAGAGTATAAGCAGTAATCAGAAAGATTAGGGTTTGAAGATGTTATTAAAGGAGTATAATCCAGTGAAATAAGTTTGGAAAGAGAATAGAGGAGAAGGATATGAAGAATTCAGAAGACTAGAATTTGGTAGAACACAAAGAGTGAATGCACCTTCACCATTGCAAACGATCTTGAGTCATGTCATTTAATTTATAAATCATCAACTTTGTTCATGTAAAAAGTGTTATGCTTCCACGGTTAAATCAATATATTGTGATAGTTTTTTATGGAGTTTTTTTTTGTCTGAACTGGATGATTTAGTCGTGGAGCTTTCATCGTCCAGCTTAGAGAACAAAACTTTATCAAAATCATCCATCTGACTTATAAATCTTTTCTATCATCTCAATATTATGATAGTGTTTATAATGACAAATAGTTCTTTGGTTATCCTCATCATGTAAAGTGAAACTTGATGATCTCATTTAATTCATTATTCATTTATTGTAAAGTTTAATGAAGTTTACTGTTATCATAAAGATTATGTAGAATATCAGAAGAGGGAATATTATAGTAATTTTAATAGTTGAGATCATGAATTAATTAAAGGTAGACTATCATGGAAAACCTGGAAGCACTTGACGGTCGCTTTGTCCTATTGTAGGACGAGGAGAGATTGTGGATGCGTACTACTGAAGAGTCTCACAATAGAACGAAACGACTGTTCAATGCTTCCAGGTTTTCAATGGTAGTCTAGCTTCAATGAATTCATGATCTTAACTATTCAAATTATGTAGAATAATTAAAACACATTTTCAATGATTATGTGTTGTTTTCCATCCTTTTCTTTCTTTTTTTTGTATAAACATTTAAGGTAAATATAATACAAGCATTGATGAATTAGAACATTGGGAACGTGTATTAGCTACAAATGATCAAATGATTACACAATGGCATAAATTTTATCCAATAGCAATTACACCACCGGAAATGACTTTAAAATCTGAAGATTAAATTAATTACTTACTTACGCCTGTTATCCCTCGTGAAGGAACAAAAGCCGCCAACCAACATTCTCCAAGCCACTCATTTTTTGTTGGGTTATTTATTGGGATCACTTTTTCTTTTCTATTAAATACTTAAAATGCATACACTTTTGATTAGTATTATTATTACTAATGGGCTTATTCACTATTATATTTTTTGATATAATATAGAATTCTCAGCAATAAGTACTTCAACAAGTTTCCATTTCTTACTTTTTCATCCTTCCTGACGATGAATATTGAGTGATCACCAATTAGAACATAGCGATCCAGTCGATCGACATCTAAATAATAATGTATAGTCTTTTCGCTGCATACATATTGACAGTAACGACGATATCTCTGATTGGGCCTTTTTCTAACTTGTACAACGAAACACGCCTGAATAGGTTATGCGATTAATAATCATAATGATGTATTGAAACAAAATTAGATCATTTGTTGAAATATCTAGATGGTAGGAACAGGTAGTTTCGATGTTCAAAACAGGTCGTGATTGATGATAATGATAAAAAACGAAAATGATGATAATATAATCAATGTGTTCCTACTTTGAACTTTTTATCCCATATTCAAATAATCTTTGATTTTGAGAGTCAACTCTCACTCTTGAAATGCTCTCACATGGCCACGCGAATATATAGCCTCTAATAGCGAAGTCCTACTCACTGCCTTCTCGTGCCACAGGTGTTGTTTACGAAATTGAGAGAACGAAAAGCGAATGTACGGCACTTTAACCGCGTTGGTGGACACGGAAAGTTTACCTACGGGAGTTGGAAAACCCTGATTCCAAACCAATGGTGCACATGGACTCCAGTGCCCTGAGGGAAAAAATGGTGTATCAACCAATCGTTGGTCACCGGCTAACATGGGACTGCATCTCCTTATGATGCTCCACTGCCTTGTGGATCAGATCTTTATGTCAGTCTCCGGGTGTGGCCCTCTAAGAAAACCACCTACTTCAGTTTGGGCACCTAGGTAGTATCATAACACATACATCAATCAAATGAGATTTGTGCCGCGCATATGTATCTGGTGCTTCCTTAAACCAATATTTATGTGTTCAAATAAATACATAATAATAATCTATCATGTAGAGATAATAGTAACTCATATGATAATGATGTGATCTATCAAGGATGTAGACTGAATGGAATTATGTGGAATGCTTTTTTTTGGCACAAAAGATTACATAACTACTGTCATACAAAATCTAGTTCATAGAAAAACTTATTAATTACCTTTTTAAATTCTAAAGTAGGAACACGTATATAACATGGAATCTATGATTGATGTAATAGAATCGGAAAGTAGATAGATACCTTCAAAAAGTAACTACATGAAAAGTAACGAAGTCAATCATATGTGTCTTGATAATCAATCATAATCTAAATATTATGAGAACTAAACTAACTAATTAGAATGACTGCAAATAATTATAATTATCCATGAATTTAAGGATCGATCATGTACAAACCAAATCGCAACTCCAAGGATCATTGTGGAACAATGAATTAAATGGAATTCATCATTATACATAAACTTTATTGATTACGAAAAAGCATTTGATAGTATAGACAGGACGACACTATGGAGGCTTCTTCGATAATAAGGTGTGCCTTAGAAGATAGTTAATATCATACGGAATTCGTATGATGGATGCCAAATCGTGCATGGAGGACAACTCACAGACTCATTCGAGGTTAAGACCTGTGTTAGGTAAGGTTGCTTACTCTCACCCTTTCTCTTTCTCCTGGTTATAGACGGGATCACGAAGACGTCAATATCTGGAGGGTAGCACAGGATATAGTGGACAGCTAGGATGCAGCTTGACGATTTAGACTTCGAAGATGATCTGGCTCTTCTATCACACACGCAACAACAAATGCAGAAGACGACCAGTGTAGCAGCAGCCTCAGCAACAGTAGGTCTCAATATAAAAAAGGGAAAAGCAAGACTCTCCGATAGAATACAGCATGCACCAATCAAATTACACTTGACGGAGAAGCTTTGGAAGATGTGGAAACCTTTACATATCTGGGCAGCATCATTGATGAACACGGTGGATCTGATGCAGATGTGAAGGTGCGGATCGGCAAAGCAAGAGCAGCATATTTACAACTGGAGAACATCTGGAACTCAAAACAATTGTCAACCAACACCAACATCAGAATTTTCAATACAAATGTGAAGACAGTTCTACTGTATGGGGCGGAAACCTGGAGAACTACAAAAGCCATTATCCAGAAGATACAAGTGTTTATTAACAGTTGTCTACGCAAGACACTTCGGATCCGATGGCCAGACACTATCAGCAACAAGTTACTGTGGGAGACAACAAATCAGATTCCAGCGGAGGAAGAAATCAGGAAGAAGTGGTAGAAGTAGGTAGAACACTAATATAAATCGCCCAAATATTACGTATTGCGATAGGACTACACAAAATTCTACCAATTGACCAAATTCAGATATCCTAGTTCGACCCCAATAATGTTACCCAACTCCAATAAGTCAGAACACAGCCGTTAAATAAGAATTGTTTATGGGGTCAGAAGCAGGTCAAAAATGGTTTACAGACAAGGCATATTTATACAGTTAAAATGACTATGAACAGTAACCAATGAAAAGATAGGACACGTAAAGGTTATAATTAGGACAACTCAAAATTGACCAATAGGAAAACGACACGTGAAATTCATAGTTAGGACAACTGTAAATAATGACCAATAGAAAATGACATGCGAAATATGTGAAGAGTCTGAAAACATACGACTTTACTTTCGAGATAATTTTGGGATATTCCTGTGAATATCCTAACAAACACACACTGAGAAAAGCAGCCAACTGCGTCACAAGACAAGCAATCACATGGAATCCTGAAGGCTAAAGGAGAAGAGGAAGACCAAAGAACACATTAGGCCGAGAAATGGAGACAGACATGAGAAGAATGAACTAAAACTGAATAGAACTAGGAAAGAAGGTCCAGGACAGTGTGTTGGAGAATGCTGGTAGGCGGCCTATGCTCCATTGGGAGTAACATGCGTAGGTAAGTAATTAAGTATTTCCAATATGAAAACTATCGTGATGAAAAATTTGACTAGACATTACTTACATGTAACCTGTAGATAATAAAAGAGCAGAACAGAAATCTAAATAACTGGTTAAACAAAAGATGTTTTACCTCACATATCCATCGAATCATCAACGAATGGAATTCATTACTATAACATATGATTGAAGCTCAACCTGTCGACTCTTTCAAAAGAAAGTTGGATCAACTGAGAGACCGTCATTGTTAAGATTAACACAGGTCATCTAGCCTCTTATCCTTTCCAAACTCAAACTGAAAACTACATATAAAATCGAACAAGTCAATGGTCATTCATTGACTAGATGATGTTTTATTTTATCAAGTTTAGTATTACAAACTTAGATGGAATAATTTGATAAATGACTAATCATGTTATTTTAACACTTTTACTTCCCAATTTTTAGTCATTTTAGTATAGATCTAATCATGCCAGTTAAGCAGTTAACAATGTACAGAGTGAATCAGTGATATATGTGTAAACTGAATGATTCACTAACAAGTTGAATTATTTCTAGGATTCTTTGCACATTGTTTTAGATTATAGAATCTATGACATAATGTTATATCTAGAGCTTCAGTTGGTTGCTATATTGCGTACTACTAGACTACTTGAACGATCGAACCCGCAACGTCGCAAGACAGAAGACTAGTAAGTAGGAATGTTATACCCAACACAATGTCAAATATACTACAAAAAACTAATATATTGATATGGTAAGCAGAGATGGATAGAGAGACTGACCAGTTTCAGTCCTAAACACATCGATGGGAAGATCCAAACAAACAATACTAAGTTAATATATTGATAGTTTTTGGCTGAAAGTAAATCATCATTTCGGACAGCCAATAGGTACATATGGGATCCGTATTATTCATCCAATAGGAAAGCTACACATTAGCATTCTAAAATGTTCCTCTAGCGGTGATTGCATGGAATGTTTCCGGCTCTTTCTGAGCTTCTTGAGTTTGCCAACGAGCCATCCTTACACATAATTTACTGGTTATTAATACCAGACTGCCAAAGATGTAAATAAAGCTCAATAAATTTCCTAAATTAACCCTTGTATAATTTGAAGTGAAAGGTACTGGGATCGAGTCCCAGAGTGAACATCAACTCTACGATGTAGGTACATCCAACTGACGAGTCCCAAATAGGACGAAACGCAAGTTCTGGATTCCATTGCTAGCCAATGTCCATATTTGCCTGTTATAAAAGGCAATATCGAGGCAATACGCACAGTATGCACATATGCCAATTAGAGACTGACCAGTTGAAGTCCTAATCATCAATAGGAAGATTTAAACAAACAATACCTATATCATTTAGTTTTACAACTTCTATCGATACATATAATAGAAGCTCCTAATTTTAATATTTACTACGCTTGAGTTCTCAACATAAATATATGTATTGTTGTTAGATTAGATGTTTTGTTAAGGTCTTATTTTAAAACTCAGTTATAAAGTCAGGAAAATACAAGTGAATTCACCAAACCAACTTAGTATTATAGGGGTGTTAGAAAACAACAAAAAACCATGAAACAAAGTTTTTATTAATTAGCTCTCATCAGCAATTGCATCACAAATAAAGAGGTTACTGCTGTCCTATTTACTTACTTGCTCCTGTTACTCGCAATGGAGCAGAGGCTGCCGACCAGCATTCTAAAATTCACTCTGTCCTGGGCCTTCCTTTCTAATTCTATCCAATTTTTCTACATTCTTCTCATATCTGTCTCCATTTCTCGGCATAATGTGTTCTTTGGTCTTCCTCTTCTCCTTTGGCCTTCAGGATTCCATGTGACGACTTGCCATGTGACGCAGTTGGGTACTTTCCTAAATGTGTGTCCTATCCACTTCCAGCACCTCTTCCTGATTTCTTTCTCCATTGGAATCTGGTTTGTTCTCTCCCACAATAGCTTGTTTCTGATAGTGCCTGACCAACGGGCTGTCCTATTTAGTCCGATAATATACTCTAATTCGTTTACCATTCGAAGTTAGAACTAGTTATATTCTCTGAATTGGCTGGAATCATTTTAGTCAAGCTCTTCAGATTACAGTGTATTACAAAATGAATTACTGATAAGTCAATCATTCACATAACATCCAACACATACCATAAATAAACAGATTAACATACAACATTTAAATGATAA